ACATACATACATACATACATACATACATACATACATACATACATACATACATACATACATACATACATACATACATAGTGTAGAGTACTCTAGTAAGAGAGATTCTACCCAGAGAGAGCTAAGCTATCGTATGTAATATATGCGGTGTGACTCGATGTGACATATTTTACTCGCATGCGCGCGTGTATAGGTCTATCATCTGCTGACACTGCACGCGGTGATGAACGACTTTTAAATGTCTCGCATTACGCCCCACAATCGATGTTTTATTTATAAATCCGTCACGTCAGAAATAAAAAAAATCATTGTTTGACCGCAATATTGATGAGTCCATGTTATATTTATGATGTCGATAATTAGAAAAAGAGGGCGGAGTGCGTGGCACCTTGGTGGCACTTAATGGATAGGTCACGTGGCACGCGCGGTGGGCGGAGCGTCAATTACCTGCACGGAAATTGGGTAAGCCGGCAATCGTCGGCATAGACTGTCACCGACGTCGTTGGAGATACGTTCAGCGTTAGGCGCACACGGTCAGGGAGGGGGGTCTGCGCAGCATGAGGGTACATAACACAGGGAGGGGAAGGCGGCTCACCGGGGTAGGTAAACGCCGGCACGAGACTAAACCAATTACGATCAATTGAGCATAAAATGACGGGCTTTTCTTGAGTGCCACCTCCGCGTAATCTATCCGTGACCGAGACAACACACGACCCGCTTACGGGCGACGCACCGCCGACGTTACGCGAGGCACGCCGACGACGTTACTCACGGGACCGCTGCAGAATACTGCGGGGTCGGCCACCACGCGACGGGATGTCAATCGTGGGTGGCGACGCGTCACCAGCGGCGCCGCATTTAGCTATTTGACACCAACGATTCTCTGACGGTTCGGCGTGACGGCAGTTGACGGACGTAATCCGGCGAAAGAATGGACGTGAAGTGAGAGCGGCTTGAATCTCGGCTCGTTGATCCCCTCAGAGGCGATTAGAGCGTAATCGTGAACAGCAGCGGGACCCGCCTGCTCTGATTGCCACGCGATTATATACATATACGAGCACCACCTCCTAAGTGGAAGGAAAGCGGCTCGCGGAAGGTACTGAGCAGAGGAAAGAGTGAAGGACTGCAGGAAGGAATGAAAGAACGCATGACTGTGCGACGCAGAGAAAGAATGATCAACTGAGTGCAGTATTAAGCGTCTTAGAGCGAAGAGGAGTAAAAGAGAACAAGCGGAAGTCACTGATTGAGTGCTGAATTAACAGACGCAGCGACCAATTAGAGACGACGGCCATCACAAGTCTCTGCAACGTTGAGGGGAAAACGAATTCGAATATCACCACAGCGGAGTGAAAAGAAGAAGTAGAAGACGGGAAATAAGGTGCAGTCATCACGTAAACCGGATGGAACCGGTGTCACGAGATATTAGGAGACCGTACATCTGTGCGGACACTAAAGCAAACAGCGGACAGGCACCACTTCCACCGACCCTCGGCAACAACATCAGTATGAACGCACCACTATACTGCACGGTCGCGCCGCCGCCGACGCCGCTGACGATGCCGCCGACGCCGCTAACGATGCCGCCGACGCCGCTGACGATGCCGCCGACGCCGCTGACGATACCGCCGACGCCGCTGACGATGCCGCCGACGATGCCGCTATCCCACGATGAGGCAGACGAACTGCGGCATGTCGTCACGGCAGAACTTCTCAAATTGATTCTGTTCGGAAACTGGTCAGCCCACGACCGCGTTCACGACGTTCCACCAACAGGTATGTAGTATTAGTAGTAAGCTGTGTGTATCGTTTGTTTCTATACATCTCATTCCAACTATTCTCCTTATGGTGCAGTGTTCGATAGGTTTATTTTAATTTTATTTATTTATTTATTTTTTATATTTTATGAAGATGCACGCATACATATCTCTTCACAACGCTACAGTATATTAAAAAATCGGGAAAATTGGGCTCATTTTAATAAAAAATTTCACATTGAGAGAATTCAGCTGCCTTGGCAGAGGTCTGTGCTCTCCGAGTGCTCTAGTTTAAAGATATTTTCATTTTTATTTATTTATTTTTTATATTGTTTGAAGATGCACGCATACATATCTCTTCACAACGCTACAGTATATTAAAAAATCGGGAAAATTGGGCTCATTATAATTAATAAATGGAGAAATTGGGACTTGTTTATAAATATGGGTTCTCTACTTTTAATAGTTAATATTATATTAAATAATAAATAATATTTAATTTCAATTAAACAATATTTATTTTGTCGAAAATGGACATTCACTAA